CTCCTCCCAACAACGCTTTAGAGTCTTCCACTTGGGGACTTTGCATTACATTTTTCTTGAGAATAAGCATGCATAGATATTAAATATTTTTTACCCCTACGGATTAGAAGACAACCCAAATTACAACAAATTACTAGTTTGAATCCAAAATGGGTTTACTCTCAACAACACCCATTACCCATATAGTGAATTTTTCATTTCAAGTAGCATCCTTAATTATTCGAAGTATCCGCTGTCAAAATCTTTGCGAAGATGTCCGCCACTCGTTTTGCTAGCTTACAAAAAACCAATTCGACTTCATTGTTTTTGAGATGCTCCCTGATCAAATGAAACCTTATATCTCCCTGATCAAATGAAACCTTATATCTATGTGTTTGCTCTATGCAACCTTATATCTATGTGTTCACTCCACGCATAGAAAAACCAGATTTTTTGGTAATGCCATAGTTACTTTTTTGTTAATGTTGATCTTTGTGGTGCTTGAGTAAACTATGAATTCTTCAATATATTTCAAAAACCGAATGGCATGACACATAAGATGCTACCATATTTAGCTTGACATGTGGATAGGTCAACAATTGCTTTCTTTATTGAGCACCAAGTAAAAGCTGTAGAGCCATTTTGAGATACATAACCCACAATACTCTTTCTATCATTCAAACAGCGACCTCAATCACTATCACTATCATGATCATCATCATCCATCATCCAAGCCTTAATCCAATGACTTGTAGTCAGCTACATGAAAATTGTTTAGGCAGACTATAAGGCACCATATCTCTTCTCATCGCTTCCATTCATGTGCTTTTGGGCCCTCCCCTTGTCCTTTTAGAGCCTTCCACATGAACCAAATTGCTCCCCCTAGCCGGTGCTGTATTGGGTCTACACTGCACGTGGCTAGTCCACCTAAGTCTATTTTCCCTCATCCTCTTACCTATTGCAATCACCCTTAGGTTTTCTTGTGTATAGTTATTTTGAATTCTATCCATTCTTGTCTTACCACTCATCCATCTCAATGTCCTCATCTCAGCTACACTCACCCTATGGGCATATTGTTTCTTGGCAACCCAACATTTTGTCCAATAAAGCATGGCTGATATTGTAGCCATCTTATAAACTTCCACTTTAGTTATTTTGGTAAGTGGCAATCATATAAAACTCCAGATGCATATGTCCACTTTGCTCACTCAACCCTAATTCTATGCATGACATCGTCGTCAAAATCTCTCCATTCTCCCAGATTATCGACTTAGATATTGAAAACAATTTCTTTTAGGTATTTCTTCGCCATTAATCTTAACTAGTTTTTCGTTTTTACTCTTATTATTACTAACCTTGTATTCCACATATTCTTAGTCTGGCTACATTTAAAGCTATTAGATTCTAGAGCGTCCTTTCAAAGTTCTTTGTGTTGATGCCACCTCTATTCTCATTAACCAAAACTATGTCTGTGCAAACAACATTACTATGGTATTTCATCTTGTAGATGCCTAGTTAACTAGTCCATAACCAAAACAATGAGATATGGTCTCATCGTTGACCCTATGTAGGCCTGTTGTTAGTGAAATCTCACATCTTTCCACTAGTTGTCCTTACACTGGTTAAAACTCCCTTATACATATCTCTTATCTCGTCAATATATATTTAGGGACTTCTTTCCTTTTAAAATGCACCAAATTAACTCTCTAGGTAATGTATTGTATGTTTTCTCTAAATCAATAAAGACCATGTGGAGGTGTCTTTCCATCATCCTAAACTTCTCAATCAATTGCCTATGTAGGAAAATGGCCTCAATTGTTGATCTCCAAAGCATAAAGCCAAACTGATTCTCAAATACACTTATTTCATATCTTAGACTTTGCTCAATTACTTTTTCCCACAACTTCACAGTGGCTCATAATTTTGATTTCTTGATGGTTCATACAGTTCTATCTGCAACCTTTGTTCTAAGTAGGTACCAAGATATTTTTTCTTTGTTCATCTGGCATTTTTTTTGTTCTCAAACTCTTGTTGAACAACTTGGTCAGCCAGATAATTCCAATCTCTCTTGTGCACTTCCAAACTTGTATTGGGATACCATTTGGTCTTAAGACCATTCTTATCCTAATACTGTGAATATATCTATGACCCAATGTTGTTAGATTTGCTTTGGAGACCCAATGTTGTTAGATTTGCTTTGGAGTCTTCTTCGGTATTGTAAGAAAAATGAGAAAATTCAGTGCTTCAACCGATTTAGAGGAAGACTTCGGATTTTTTTTTTTTAATGTAATATAAGTAAATTAAATATTTATATATAAAACATATAAAATAATGGAAAACATTACATAAATAAAAAGATTAAAACATTTAAAAAATACTTTTATATAGGTATCTCTTTTTTGACCGAAGCAGCCCGAAGCTTCGGTTGAAGCAGACCTGAATTTCACCAATGCAGACCAGAATTTCACTGAAGTAGCCCGAAGCTGCCTGAATCTAATCGAAACGGCAACACCATGCTTCTCTTCGTTTCAGTTGGCAACACCATGCTTCTCTTCGCAACACCAGCAAATCGAATTTGATAACATTGCTATGACCTCCAACCACATTTATGTAAAAGGTTTCTCCTAATGCTATGATCTCGAAGGGTTTCTCCTAATGCTGTGCTCCCAAACTTGACCTCGTCCTCTTTCACTACCACCCTCTGATTTACTTCCTTTGCATGGCATCATAACGGTTGGAGCTACTACATTCAAATTTTCTGCAGAATTTACTTGTGCTCCTCCATTTTTCTTAAATATACATTCAGAACTATAAATCCCAAATTGTTTTTGCAATTAGAACATTTAATTTGTATGTCTTTCATACATGTGTCGATTAAAGGGCTGGCTAAAAGTTCTATAATCTTGACATCTGGAGTTCTACCTTATTTCCCTTAAAATTGTCAGGGCCTCATGCACCTTGATTTGCTGCACCCTGACCACATTGTCTTTTTCCTCTAGATCCTCATCTTTCATCCTTTGGAGAGAGTTTGTTTGAAGCACTTGTTGAAGAGGATAGTCTAGCTTTTGAGCATTCTTTGTTCATGAGCTTGTAGGGATCCAACAATTGATCGATAGTCACAAACGAATGGACCTTTCCTTCTTTCGATTGCCACAACTATATGCTCAAGTTTTGGAGGTATAGATCTAATATCTTCGTCAGAGCATGAACATCGTTAAGGGTTTTATTCCTGTTGAATTCGAGAGAGCAAAGGAACAAGAGGAGTGTTGTAGGAAATTTTAAGTTATTAAAATTATATGGACGTGTAGGGTTCTTGGGAATTCTAAAAGATTTTGGAGTCATCAAACCATGGAAGTTTGGGGGGCCACTTTTCTGCCACCAAAAAATGGAAGTGGACCTAAGGTTTGTGTTCTACAGAGTGTGTGTATGATATTAGTCTAGTTATGGTCAATTGATTTTGTTTTTGTGACTATGTTTATGGCCTTCTCCAAAAGTGTAATTTCATAATTATGCTGTGGTGCAGAAACAAACCTAGTTTTTGTTGATAAAATATTCTATTTATGCCTTTAGTATATGATACAAGGTTAAATGGTCTCTCTCTTTTGGGAAAACATTCTTCTTTTTATATTTCAATTGGTGTAACCAACAGCTTAATTGCAGGTACCAGTCATGGTACATGCTGTAAAGCAAATATTTTTGGGGCCCTTCTTTTCATGTCCTATTGGAAAATGAGATGTCTCTTTCACCTTTTTTGTTTTTTTTTTTGTTGTCGCATGTGCTTGCCACCATCGGTGTTTATTTGTAGTCCAGCTTTTGAAATTTTGTCTATTTCTCTCTTTAAATAGACAAAAGGGGTTTATGAATTAGGTGGTCTCGTTTGCTTTTGATTTGTGGTTTATTTATTAACATTTCTATATTCTTTTTCAGTATATATTTATCTATTATTATTTATTTTATTGATGCCTTTTTCAGTACATCTTTTCGAAAAGGAAAAGTGTTAGATCTTTTATCTTTGGTACAAGGATGTCAATTGCCAATGGCAATTGGATTTAAAATCAAACGGTTGGGGATGTGATATTGACTAAACTTAGAAGTTCAAAAGAAAAGTTCTCGATCTTTTCAACATCGTAAGCTAATTGACGGTTTAGACGGATTGTGACCTTGTGCCAAAGGAAAATGGTCTTACAGCATAAAATCCATTTAAAAATACTGAATGCAAAGTAAATTCTTTCCAAACACTGAGAAAATTATTCCTAGGTCAGACTGGATGGTTGTCAATTTTTTCTGTGATTGTTTTTTATTTCTTTTATTTCTGTTTGTAGAACTACAACAATTATTGATCTTAAGATGCTGATAGGGACTCGAGTGGGTAATTTCCATTGTATACATGCATCTTAGGATCTAAAGTAGTTCAGCTCACAAAGCGAAGTGATTTCCTCCTTTGGTAATCCTTTATATATTTATGTATTTGATTTGTTTAGATGGCTAGGCTACCGATAATCATTAGAATCTTTTTATTTTTTATTCACCAAAAAACATTGGGTATTATGCTTTGGGTATCTTCTTTGCATTTCCTTCTAATTGACCTCAAAAAATGCTGGACGTATGTTATCTTCACAGGGAAATCCAAGAAATGCGTTTGCAATTTATACAAAACAAATATGATTTCACCAAAATTTAAAATTGAAAATGAGTTGTAAGAAAAAGAATATGTACTTTTTTTATTTCGAAGTTCTCTTTTTCTTCAAGTTTTCTTCATTTGGCTTTTGAAGAATCAGTTTCAAGGAAGCACAATCCTGGGAAATGCCCGCTGTTATGTTATATAATCGGTAAGAGTATGGACCATTTGTAGAAGAATTTCGACAATGTGATTGGTGCTTCATAGGCGATGTCTGCCTTTGAATTCTGAATTCTTGTCTTAGTAGTTAAGAAGCATTGTTAGATGAAAGTTCTCGAATCAGCTGGATATTGGATATCAAACAAGCACAAAGAAAACCTTTTGATGGGAATTAGCTGCACAGGAGACAGGTACTTGAAGCCATATATAACATCAGAGCCCGAGATCACCATAACAGACATAACACCTGATGACGAGTGCTTAATTCTGGCCAGTGATGGCCTTTGGGATGTTCTCCCAAATGAATTGGTTTGTAATGTTGCTCGTCAATGTCTCTTTGGTCGCTCGCCCCCAAGGCTTACGCAACCAGAGTCATCGGACCTGGTTGGTTCACAAGGGCTTGATGATGGTTCGCAGTCCCCATGCACCCTTGCTGCTACATTGCTTACGAAGCTTGCGTTGGCCCGAAAAAGCTCGGATAATATAAGCGTTATTGTAATCAATCTCAAGAGAAACCAGAATTGATCGACTAGTTGGAGAGGTTGGGGGAGAGAGTTGTGTGGATGGCAATGGGGAGAATTTGGGGCTCTGTGGGGAAGGGGGGAGGTGCAGACAGAAGTATAAGGTGGAGGTATAAAATCTGCACAGAAGGTTGTGTTTTCTTTAGTCTGCACAGAAGGTTGTGTTTTCTTTAGTGAGCTTTAAGGTGAGGATGGATGGTATGGAGAAGACAAATGAATTGGGTTCTTGTTTTTTGTGGGGATTGGGTTATTGAAGTCGATAAAATACTTTTTTGGCTGAAGAATGTGGTGGCTGGAGTGAGATTTCATTGATCGCATGGCCTTGTTTTACAATTCTTTTTGTAGTTGAAAACTCATGGATTGAATAAGGTTACAGGATGAAATTGTTGGATTTGAGGAATGGGTTGAGCGTTCTGCGTATCCAGCAGGAAAAATTGTATATAATCATGGCCTTAAAATGAACAAGAAGTTGGTCGTCTAAATGTTAATGGTGTTCAAACCAATATATTTGGGCATGTAAACTCTGGGAAACCCCTGTTCTACCAAATATTGATGCATTATGAAATTGCAATTTGGTCTCCCAATTTTCAATCTCTTTCTTAACTGAAATTTGATGTTCTCTGGGAAACCCCTGTTCTACCAAATATTGATGCATTATGAAATTGCAATTTGGTCTCCCAATTTTTAATCTCTTTCTTAACTGAAATTTGATGTTTTTTAAATTTGTAACATGACATCGGTTAGGCTCTCTCTTTCTTGGAGGTCGTTCAATATGTTAGATCTGTGTTTTAAAACTTAGATTACTGAGATCGGTTGTTTACCTACAAATCTGTGTTTGGATCGTGGAATAGGCAAATTGGGATTGGGTTTGGATGGATTTAAATCGGTAATTCAAAATAGTATGAAAGATAAATGAAACAAATTAAAGCAGAAGTCTATGGGGTGGAGATCTAATGGGGATTTGGGAAAATATTAGATGGCCTTATGAAAAAAAAAAAAAAAAGAAGAAGAGGGGAAAGTTAACCAATATCGCGTTTCAGTTTTTATGACTTTGGGGTTTAACTAAAATCCTATGTACCTTATGTACCTGCTGGAGTTTAAAATTTTGGTACGAGTAGCCCCACAATTATATTTTCGTTGTTCGTTTAAAAATTTTATTTTTTTGTTGTTAGTAAATGCCTAATCCATTTCTTAGCCATTTAATGAGTACAAATTTTAATGACTACAATAACAACAATATATTGATTGAATAGTTTGTCTTCTGTAGGTATTTTGATAGTTTTTTTTAGTAAATGACTGAATAATAATATTAATTTATTAACAATAGTAATAATGATATCGATTAATTATTTAGCAAGTGCAAAAGTTATATTTCATTTTCTTTTCAAGTATAAATTTGTAAAATAAACGGATTGCTCTCTTTTTCTCACAGCTCCTTCTATCTCTCTCACTCACTCTCAAAAAGCTCAAAAGAATATACTCTCCTTTTGCGCTCTCCTCAAAAAGCTCAAAGAATATACTCTCTTTCTCTCAAAACCATAAAGAAACACCCCTCTTATCTCTTTTCTCTATCTCTCTCTCTCCTCTAGTAGCCTACGATATGCTTAAAACCAGTTAGGGGTCGAACTGGCACTTTTTTCATCAAATCGGTTGGTTTATTCTGCTAATTGGACCGGTTAGATGATGAATCAGACATTTTAAATAAATAATGGTAATGTACCTGTTTCCGTTGTTATTTTAAATTAAGGACCTTTAGTGGGCATACTTGAATCCAAAAATTTACTTTTTTTTTATTTGTTTTGTGCATTTTTTTGTCTGTTTTTTAGTGATTTATTGCTATAAATCACCATCTAAAATCTATCTAAAAAAAAAGAAATTTGGATTGAAGCATAAAAAAAAAAGAATTTCTTGGATCCATATGGCGGATTTTTTAGGTTTTTGAAAATTTCTACCATTTTTTCAGAATAATCTCTTTAATACCTAAGGGGGTTTGATAGATAATCGAATTATTTATCATATTCACATTTCAATTTTTTCAAATAACCAAATATTATTAATTGATTTTGGGTAAAAAAGTTGCTGCTCAAAAAACCTGTTTTCGATCCAAAAACATAGATTTTTTATCAATTTATTGATCGTTTTTTATCAAATTCAGCTATGGATTTTGATCAAGTCTTAATCTCTCAAATAAAATAGATATATCTGTTTATGATTAATTAAATTTTTTTATATGAAATTTTTTGTTGCACGATGTTAAAATTTCGTAGCTGTTATTTCCGCCTTTGTTTTCAATTAAATTACAAATACCAAATATTTTTTTTATGAGATTTGATACGTTTGAAAGATGATCGAAACCTTTACCATGCATGTATATTGATATGTTCGATTATCCAAACATTGATGATCGTTTCTTGCTCGAAATGTTGCTCGATTTTAGGGGTTTTTGAGGAATTGATTTTTCTAAAAAGAAAATATTTTACTGAATAAAATTACGTTTGATGAATGTGGGAAGTGTTTTTTTATTTTGCTTAATAAAATTATTTTTCTAATAAAATTATGATTTTTTTAATAAAATTATGTTTGTTTATGAATATGGGAAGTGTTTTTCTATTTTTCTTAATAAAATTATTCCTTTGGATAAAATTATTTTTTGATGAAATCGATTCTTCTTTTTGATAAGTGCATGATAATGTCACCCGATCTTTTGCTTGATTTTTTTTTTCTCGATTTTTTTTAATTATGTTTTTTTAAGTGTATGATATAGTTATATTTATAATAATGGAAATTGGATATTTTGTTTTTTAAGGTGCATGCAAAAATTTTGGTTGCCTTATGTTCAATGAAACACTACACCATTGTCTGGTATGTACTTCGTTCTTCTCTCTTTTCAAAATTTTATTTATTTATTTTTCTATCAAGGATTTTGGAATGTTATTGAAAGAGAACTATACTTTGCTTTTCAGAGCTTTGGGCAAGAATATGTTTTATAGCCAACTATACTTAGACTTCGATTGCTCTAATCTTCTTTCCAAAATTTTTAAAGATACCCAAATTAGATATCTAATTTGGGCAAGCTTTCTATGTTTCCCTTACATCATAAAACTATATATTTCCCCTTATCCAACCGCCCATTTTGAATGAAGGGCTAAGATTGCTCTAATCACAATGCCACTTGTCTATACTATTTTATTTTTTATTTTTTTTCTATAAACTATTTTGACACCAAATTTTGGACGTCCAATCTTCCATTAAACTCGCACTAGTGAAAATATTAAAAAAATATTTCCAATTAAATAAAATTATCAAAATACCTCTGAAAGCTTCAAAGGGTCATTATATTTTATCGAAAAATTATTTTTAATGATTTTTTATAGGTGCGCCCCAATGAGAAAATGGCACGTACCAAATTTCATGTTCATACAATTTGTATAAAAAAAACTAAAAATAAAATAATTTGAGACATTGAATCTAGATCAAATGGTGAGTGGCTCTCTTGATCAAAATCGGATGGTTGGATGGTAGAGGAAGCATAGATCTTCTATTGTGTAGGAGAAGTATAGAAACCTTTTCCATCTAATTTTAACCCAGAACCATGCTTTAGAGTTTGCACACAGTTTCTCTAACTTGTAGGTCTATGCTCCTCATCTGAATGTAGCTTACTATATAGATCTTTTATCACTGTAGGTTATCTCGATTGGTCTCAAATCTCTCTGGTAATGTGAATCTTTGGGAGAGTACTTCCACACACACACAGAGAGCGAGAGAGGTGATCTTAATTGCAAATCATCCATCACATTTGGCAATATGGTTTGGGTCATTAATATTAAATTACACCCAAACCATATTAAATTAACCTACCGCTTACACCCTCAATTAACAGCAACACCTTCAAAACATAACTCTACTGAACAGGCAGGGATTTGTCTTCCCCACTTAATTATTCAACAAAAAAAAAGAAAAAAAAACTTTTTTTCCCTTCTCTCTAACTTTTCAACGGGAGATCCCGAATGCCACCTGTTCTTTCTAACAAGCAACTTTTTCCCTCTTTCTCTCTCTAACTTTTCAACGTGTGTTCTTTTCCATTTGCGTCCTCTCTCTCCCTATCCATAACCATTTCACTCCCAAATTCACCTACAAATGCGCTCAGGAACCCACCCCAAATTTCACTCCCATCGCAACCATATCTCTTTAGAAAAAGAGTCATTCTAACGGTGGAGTAAAGGTACTAAGGCATTTTATGACTTGTAGTTTAAAAAAAAAGGGCTTATATTTGGGCCGGGCCAATATTGTGAACATTTTCGGTCTGGGCTCAGCGGTCTGGCGGGATTCATAAATTTACGGGTCTTAATTATTTTTATATTTTGGTTTGTCGTTCCGAAACGTCGTTCCGCTAAGTCAGATCGGAGGTCGATTTGGTCACGTCTCCGTTTTCTAAAATCTTGGTTAAGATAAGGGCGGGCGGCATAAGAGAGGGTACGGTTCCTAGCTATCTATCCGATGGTCTGCAATTCCTGATAAGAATGGGGCTGGTCTGATATTGCATACCGGTTTTTTTGGTGGTGAATTATGGTATAAAAGTCCTAATTCGAATCGTTCCCTCACATCCTTAAGAACCTTTCTCTCTCTCTCCTCCCTCCTCGTGGAAAGAAGGTGATGAAGAAGAAGTCAAAAATCCCAGATCTTGATAGACAGTATTGTTGGACTGTGCATAGTAAACAGCTAGAGTTTTTCGAAAATGATTAAAAATAACGTTTTTTTTTCGTTTTCTCATGGTCATAAAACCCCATTTTATAGAGAGTGGGGGAGGCCCTTCTGCATTGTTTCTTACTTAGAATATATGAGAAATTGCCTTCAAATCTGGGGGATAGGAAAGTTATCTACTAACTATTGAAAATATCTTTTAAAAATATGTAGTAAATAATATACATAATATTTTTAAAAAAATATTAAATAGGGTGAATCAATAAAGAATGTGGCATATGTAAGGCTCCCATAGCTACGTACCAAAACTTCCCACTTGGCCATGAGGTAAAGTCTATTTTACTTAACATATTTAACCTTCATAGCAGATCCTTGTTATGAGGCTTTTCACATCATTGCAGTTATATATCTGATGACCCAAAAATCATACATAGTGTTCTTATGAAAATTTTCAGGCTAATGTGATTTTTTTTCTCATGGCCAAGACATAAAAAATCTATCCCTTTTGAAAGTTTTCGACTTACATGTTAATAAGTCTTGTCAAAGTTACATGCTCCAAAAATATAATAGCATGTAATCCTTTTGCTAAAGGGTCTATAATCGTACCAGCTGATGCTAAATAACTCAATGTTGTTGCATTACTTTCAATAATATCATAAATATAATAATGGTTAATTTTAATGTTCTTACTCTTGGAGTTATAAGTTCTATTTCTAATTCATGAGATGATAGCATGATTATCACATAAAGTTTGTAACTAGTCTGTCGGCTATACCTAGCTTCAAATTCTTTATGAAGTGTTTAATCCAAGCAATATAAGTAGCAGTAATGCCAAACAATATAGTCAGCTTTCATAATATATTCTTTATTGCTTGACCAAGATTATCAGCTTGAAAGTATAAGTTTTGTTTTTAGTTTTTTAAATATACCCGAGTATCTCTTGTATGGCTTGCCAATGAGCCATCCTAGCTTTATTCTAAAATCTATTTATAAGACCATATGCATAACTCAAATCAAATCTTGTATAAAATATGACATACATTATATATCCTATAACTTGAGCGTATGGAATTCTTGTTATCTTAGCTGTCATTATCACTTGATGGGTATGCTCAAAAGGATATGATTGGAAGTAGTCCGAAAAGATATAGAGACTTATGGCATCACTGCAGCTTTGACGTTTATCTATTTTATCCGCACTAATCAAAGAATAATTATTTTTTTCATGAGTATATAAAATTAATTTAAGGTAGTAAGTGGAACTCTAGTTCTTTTAGGTCTATCTAATATACTAAATTCAAATGAAACAGTCTCACTAATTATAGAGGGAGACTGAGTAATAGGGTCTTCAAGACCCTTATCTTTATCAATTTCATATAAGTTATTAGGTTTATATATTGTATGTTCATCATCACTATTTTTCAAAAAATGAGAGTCATGGCTATCTACTAAGGATCTAGTTTCATGATTATAAAATTTGTAGCTTTTAGAATTGTCCAGACAACCTATAAAGGAGCATTTGATAGTTTGACTTTGTAGTTTATTTCTATTTTGTGATGGTATAAGTGCATGTACCCAAGAACCCCAAACTATGAAGATATTAAAGTATGGATTACTTTCAGTTCTATAGTTTATAAGGCGTTAAGCCTATGGCTTTAGTTAAAACACGATTAATAATGTACTTTACAGTATTAGGAGCTTCACCCAAAAAATAAGGAGATAAATTTGTGGCTCATCATATATCTAACCATGTTCATTAGAGTTTTATTTATTCTTTGAGCTACACCACTTTGTTGTGGTGTATATGACATGGTGGTTTGATGAATTATACCATGCTTTCAACAAAAATGATGCAGTGATGGGCCTACGCTGCTAATAAGCGCCAAGGTGGACGCATAGTTGTTACCTTGGACTTGTGAATTGAACGATACATGTGCATGTGTTTATTTGCTTTGGAAAATTGCGAATGGTAAATATGAGTCTTGCATAGAAGTTAATGTTGCATGTATAATGGGTTAGTTTTGCATGTAGTTGTTGATTTAAGAGTTCCAAAGATAGCTTTTGGTCTTTTAATGTATAGGGACTTAACTAAAGGTCTTTAAAAACATGTAGATTTAGGTTTTGAGTTTATAAAAAGGCTATACAATAGCTATAAAGAGGCATGACGAATTTTGAATGAAAATATTATTTGTTGCTAGCAATTTTCTGCTGCACTTGGATTGAGTGAGTCCTCCCTTGGAATTGAGTGATTCCTCCTTTCCGGAGCAAGTGGTTCTGCCCTATCTTGTTGGTTGAGAGATTCCTAGCAACATTTCGTAAGCTCCAGCCTACATCAAGATGGTATAAGAGCAGGAACCTTTTGAGCACCCTAGACATTGCGATTGTGTGCAATGGCTGCTAAAGTAGCCCAAAATGATCATTAATTCTCATCTTCTTTTTCACAACGTTTAGAAGTCATAGATTGGGACTTGAAACCAATATTTGATGTGTATCCTGATAAGATTTGTGTTTGGTAGAAGAATCAATCTATGATGAAGAAGTTGGTGATCCTAACTTTGATGAAAAGAATGAAGAAAATACTATTTTCAATGAAGAGCTGGGTATTGACAAGGAAGATGATGTTGGTGATGGTGATTATGATGGCGAAAATGGTAGTGATTATGTTGGGCTATTGCTTTGTTTTCAGTGGAGAGGCCTAACAACTTGCCAAGTTCTAATAGAAGGAGGTTGCAGCTGCAATGCATGTTTTCTCTTAACCCATTTTAAAGTTCGTAAGCGAGTTATCTCATGTATGTTCATGGACGATAATATTATGTATATGTACTACAAATGTAACAATGTTGTATATGGACAAAACATGATGGATAAAGTTTTTTTTGAGAGATGCAGTAATTTGGAATATACATTTCTTTCTTGTTTTCTTGAATTAGATCTCATCAAAATTAGGGAAAGTGCATATTCCTTGATGGTGACAAACATGCCAATCGAGCACTATTGTTGATGGTAGTTAAGTATTGCTCATGTTGTTGGCATGCAATTCGGTATGCTTATAGCATTACGATAAAAAACGACATGTACATAAAGGATTAGAACCCATGGTTGTCTATGGAGAAGATTGGTTATCTCTTGAATAGTATGCTGATTTCCCTATTTGGACAAAGAAGAACGCTCTTAATAGAGGCAAAACTGTAAATAGTGTACTAAAGGAAATGACGTTTCTTTCTGAGAAAATTATTTTTCTATATGAAATTCCCATGTTGTTTTAGCCAAGATTGAAATGAAGGGGTTTTGTAATTATGCAGTGCCGAATATTTTATGGAAATGTTGCGATTTGTTTAATATTTTTTTCAAAACAGGTGTTTGCGTTCTTTGTTGAACACAATTCATTGGAACTATACATTCATAAACTCATAAAGTATAATAGCAATAAAATTAGAGTGGCACAACAGAAGAAGATTGACATCACATTCATCTTAACCTACTACAAAACATGAGGACGAGTTTTTTCCAACAAAAGGAGTATAATTCAGGCGCTAAGTAGATTGTGCCCTGGAAGAAGAGTTAAAGCAACTTTAGAAAGACCTTAAAATGAACTCGAGGTTGAGTTCTTTTCCAAAAGGGGGAATGATGTAGCGTTGGGCTTATGCTCCTAGTAAGCGCCAAGGTGGACGCCCAATCAGTGTGATTGTTACCTTGGACTTGGGAATTGCATGATGCATGTACATGAATTTATTTGCTTTGGAAAATTGAGTATATAAAATCAGAGTCTTGCATTGAAGTTAATATATTTTGCATTGGGATTTATGTTGCATGGGTAATAGGTTAGTTTTGCACGTAGTTATTGTTTTAAGAGTTTCAAAGGTGGGTTTGGGTCTTCCAATGTATAGTGGCTTGATTAGGAGGTCTTTAGAAACATGTAGACTTAGGTTTTGGATTTATAAAAGGGTAGTACAATAGCTGTAAAGAGGCATGACGAATTTTAAATTAAAAAATATCATTTGTTGCTAGCAATTTTCTATGCACTTGGAGTTAATTGATTCCCCCTTTTTGGCATGAGTGATTTTGCCCCTATCTTGTTCGTTGAGAGATTCTCGGTAGCATCTCATAGGCCCCGGCCTGCATAAAAAAATAGTAAATAAATCGGAACAGTACTCACTACTACTATCTGTTTCAAGGTTTGTAATACATCTTCCTAGTCGATTTCCTACATTGGCTTTATATTTGTTAAAATGTTTCTAATACATCTGCTTGTATACTAATTAAGTATGAATATCTATATTGGGAATAATCATCTATAAATATTATGAAATATTCCATATCTCTTGCTGTTTTTATATTTAACGTGTAGCATATATCAGATTGTATAATATTAAGAAGTTAATTAGACTTTTTTCCCTTAGGAAAATATTTCTTAGGTAATTTACTACATGGAAATCAATTTCCCGTAAGTTGGAGAGTAAGACTCATTTAACCATTTTATTTATTTTATTTTTATTTATATGTCTTAATCTTAAATGCCATAAGTATGAATCATCCACACAAATGTAAGCATCAAATGGAACATCCATATAACCAAAATAAGATGAAATTTCATTAATGTTCAATCGGTACAAATTATCAACTTCAGTGCTATACACCAATGCTCAACAATGTTTACCGATGGTGGCCCGATTTGACCTGAATTTTATTTCATATCCCTTGTCGTTTAGTCTAGGAATAAAAATCAAATTGCACCTCATATTGAGCGCATTCTAAGTATCAGTGAGCAAGATATTTGCTCCTTCACATAGACATAACTGGTAAGTATGAACACCCAAGTACATTATAATAGGTGTCATTCCCCATATAAAATGGTTGGTTACTGGTTGCAATCTCCTCAACTCTGTGAATCCATCATTGGTTCTCAAAATATATCACATGGAGGTTGAGTCGACCCATCAATTCTTTAAGTTATGGTCGGTGACTAATGATTATGAGACTCCACAGATCAAGTCCTTTAACTTATTGTTGTTCTGAGCAATTGTTATTGTTCTGGATCCCAATTTTGCTCTTCAGGACAATTGGCATTGATGTGCTCAATTTCTTTGCAATAGATCGAGCGGTCCCATACTTCTTAGATCGAGCTCGCATCATACTTCTCGTTGTAGTGTGGTCCTCAATTACCTAATTAAGACATCCTTCATAATACTTAATATTATGGTCCTAGCTACTTTGTCATCTTCTAACTATTTTTCTAATCACCTTCTAGCTTGCTTGACCATTGACGTAAGGCTCTAAAACTAGTGGGTGTCCCTAACATAATCTACCCTATCACATAGGAAAATTTGTTCTATTAAGCTTTTTGAATCTAGATAAATTCTTTCGTAACTAGCCTAGATGCCATTTTGTTTGTGTATGTTACGTTTAGAGTTGTAGATCAAATATACTAGTACGAATAAAGCAATGGTCACCAAGTCTTTGTTGGCTGTGTAGTACATACTTGTCGAGCCTTGAATGCTTATAGTTGAGAAAATGCATATAATTGTTGTGTAGACCCTCGCTCGAACAGTCGGTGTGCACAATACAACCAAGTGATGGAGTTGCCATAGCAACTCAGATGGATGGAGGCAGTACAATGATTTTCAGTAGTGCAAGAAAGATGTGCACACTTATTTTCAGCAGTAATTTTTTTAGAGAGGGAAAAGGTGTTCTGCAATGAAGAGATGAAGGGGTGGTGGGATTGCTGCTTGCAACAGTAAATGCGAAGGAACAATCATGGGCTTACTTAACAGACTAATAAATTTTTTTACAAGAGTGAGAGAGGCCCAACCAAAAGAATTTGACAGGAAAAATAAGCCTTTAACTTTGAAGACTATGGAGGAAAAAAGGAAAAGAGAAGCCTTTTGCATAAAAGATTATGGGGCAAATAGGACAATCTTCACCCCTCTTTGACCAATACGAAATCCACAGAATACTATCTCCAATCCCTTTTAAAGCTTCCGAAAATTACAGAAACTAGGAAACTAAGAAAGGAAGACCAGAGAAATCGTAGACAGAGAGAAACATAATAATTATCAAACCCAACTGCAGGACTAACACAAAAATTTACCTAATTTATCGCTCCCAACAGGTGGTGGTAAGATTGTTGAGAGAGTAGAGAGATTTAAAATTAAAG